GACCCATCCTGGCTCAAAAGCTGTTTTGTTTTTGCCATTATATCCATATTATCCTTGCCTCAACAGAAAATTAAACTGAGTTTTTCTCCTTTCTTAAAGGAGAAGTAGTTTGTATAACTAAAATAAGAAGTCTTTGTTTACCAACCAGGGAACTTGTTATACATAAGAGATGGTATAGAATAAAGCTAAAAACCTATTTGCCCACTGACAGATGAATGGATCAAGAAAAGGTGGTTTGTCCACAAAATGAAATATAATTCAGCCTTTAAAAAGAAGGAAATTCAGATTCTGACCAAATTATATTGTTAAATCATGTGCATGTACATATATGTAATAGCAAATTCTATTGGTATGTAAAACTGTAATATACCTATAAAAATGTGGAGGAAAAAAAGGAAATTCTGTAAGGTGCAAAAACATGAATGAGTACTAAGGACATCATGCTAAGCAAAATAAGCTAGTCACAGAAAGACAAACAATGCATTATTCCATTTACGTGAAGTATCTAAACTAGTCAAATTCATAAAATCAAAGAGTAGAATGTAGTTGCCAAATGCTGGGAGGGTGGGAAAGAAGAGCTATAAATCAACAGTCATAAAGTTTCAATTAAGCAAGATAAGGGCTGGGGATGTGGCTCAATTGGTAGCGCGCTTGCCTGGCATGCGTGCGGCCCGGGTTCGATTCTCAGCACCACATACAAAGATATTGTGTTCGCCGAAAACTAAAATAAATAAATAAATATTAAAAAATTCAAAAAAATATATTTAAAAAAAAAGCAAGATAAATAAATTCTAGGATTCACATTTAAGCAAGTAAATATTTATTTTGATGTTATTTATCTGATCTAAAAGACATTTTTGTTTTAAGTAATATATTGGAAGGTATTCAAATATGCCTGACAAGGCATAACAACCTAACTTGAAGATATATCACTAAAGACTCTCATCAGCAGAGACAGGGTTGTAGTTTGTTTCCTTTCAAGTATTTGAATTCTAAAATGATCTCAATAGATGATCTTAATTCTGGAGTTTGGTTCCCAGAAAACTGTGATAAATTTTCCAATAATACACAAGAGGAACAGCTGTCTTAAACTAAATTTGGGTACTTTAATATTACCAGTTTCAAGGTGTAAAACAAATTTCAAATCTTTTTTACTTGTGTTAAAAAAGGACTAGTTTGTCTAGGTTATTCAGGGTCCAAAAACAAAAACTGTCCATGTTAAGGATAAGATATATTTTCTCAGAAATCAAGTCCTGTTAGAAACCCTGAAGAATAGATTTGGGGCATTTTTGTGAAAACCTGAATGAATAGATTATTAATCCTAGAATCCTGAAGCCATATGATCAGACAGGATGGGCACCTCATAGAAGAGATGATAAAAATGAACTGACAAAGATGGCTTCAGGATTTTCTATTTTAGAAAACTGAAGTATGTGGTCCTACTATCAGAACCAGAAATATAATTTGCAAAAGGGATAAGGCCAGGGAGAAGGACTTGTGAGCCCTGGCAGGTGGAGCAACTTTAAATCATAAAACTAGCACTTAGTTTACAAACCAATGACAAATCTAGAACTATTGTCCTGCCTTTAGAGGGCCTGACCAAAATGGTGTCTTGAGGGGCTAGGACTGTAGCTCAGCAGTAGAGCGCTTGCCTAGCACGTGTGAGGCCCTGGGTTTGATCCTCAGCACTACATAAGAATAAAATGAAGATTAAAAAAAATGGTATCTTGAATATAGTTGATATAGTTAAAGAGGAATTGAGTCTTTCCCACAGATGTTTTTCTGAGAGAAACTCAGGGAACAACGAGCAGTCCTAAACAATCTTGTGTTCCTCTTTTTGAAGCTATAGAACACTTATCCTATTTCCCTCAAGAAAAATGAATACCTTAATCTTTATAGATTTGCAAGTGGTAAACTAAAATGGACACAACAGATCATATAATCTAACCCTATTGTATTACAGATAAGTGAAGAGATAACAGAGAGGAAGTGATTTGCCCAAGATCACTTTATTAATCATCCACCAGAAACTAAGGCATGATTCATGTTTTCTGCCTATCAGTCTTACAAATTTTCCACCAATCCTATTGTCTTTATCCATGCAAGAATTCTCTTTAATTTTGATAAGACATCAAGGAAATGATACAGAAAGTAGATTAATTTGAATCAACCCAATATTTAAAGGCACTATACTATGTACAGCAGTAAACACAAAAGGGATAAGAACTGTTTATTGTCCTTTGTTCTAGTGAGACCAGGATGAGAATAATGCATAACCTCAACTGAATGACCACAGAGATGACTACAACAAAGCAAATAAATGAAAAGTATCAAGAAAGACACAAACAAGTCAGGCACAATGGCACATACCTGCAATCCCAGCAGCTCTGGAGGCTGAGGCAGGAGGATCATGAGTTCAAAGCCAGCCTCAGCAAAAATGAGGCACTTAGCAACTCAATGAGACCCTGTCTATAAATAAAATACAAAAAAATAGGGCTGGGGATGTGGGTTAGTGGTTGAGTGCCCCTGAGTTCAATCCCTGGTACCCCCCCTCAAAAAAAAAAGAAAGAAAGAAAGGCACAAACAAAATACTATAAGACTTCAAAGGAAAGAAACATAAAATTGGATTGAGAAGATCAAGAATGGCTTTTTGTTTGACTACAAACAAAGAAGAGGCACTATTACCATTTCATTTAGTAGAAGATATCAACCTGAGGACTATTTGGGCACACTTGTGAATCACCCCTTCTTTCTGAACCATATTTAGCACAGTAATTTGTAACAAATTCTTGTTCATATGTAATTCTGTTGCAGCAGCAAGAGTTATGATGGATATGATGAGATCGGACCTTATATCCTTATATCTCCAGCCTCTCTTATTTAAACAATGGTTTAGAAGGGCTGAGGGAGAGAGAGTATCCTCTTCTGTACAAAAATATGGATTCCATAAATATTTATTGACCTGAAATAAATTGGACTTAACATGAGTCAAATAAATGATTTTAGTAACTCCTGGATTAAACCATTGAAATCAAAACTATATATCCATACTTTTCCTTCATCACTTCCACCCACCCAACCACCCAGATATGAATGATAGTATCCAATAGTGGCAGTAGCTCCTGTCAGAAACAACAGTCCTCAGTAGGGGTGAAAATATTGAGTACTTACTATGTGCATAGCTAAAAATTCCTAAAGGAACCACAAAAGATCCCTCATAATTCCAAACTTGAAGAAACACTACACTGTTGCCCAGAAAATGTGGTATTTATTCATTTGTGCATATAGAGATTGGGCTAAACTATAATTACACAATTACCATGAAAAAGGATAGTTAGAGCATTTGGCTGGTAGTTTAGTTCCCATAGAAATTCATAAACTTTCTTTCCTATTCTTGCATGGATAAAGACAATAGGATTGGTGGAAAATTTGTAGGAGAAGTACAAGCTTGTCTAAACAAACAAACCAACAAAAAACTACAACAGAGGTGAAGATAATATTCTTCACTGATTAGATGAGTGGAATCATATAATTTTACGATCAGAAAGGATTTTTATATATTCAATATTTGGTAAGTATATCTTCATTAATATATAGAGACTTGGAAAAACTAAATAAACTATAAAGTTCACTGCCTGATTAACCAAATATAAAAGCCAACTCTGAATAATTCTCCACCTGCAACCCACTCTTTCCCCAGACTATCATAGGTTGCCTATGTGAACTTCTTACCTAAAGAGCAGACAATTTGAAAAGGGAAAAGATATTGGAGAAGTTCTGAAAAAATGATTGAGTAGAAGGTGGATTCAAATGCAATACTGTAGCTGTGGATCCAGGTTTCTGTTTTTTAAAACTAGACTATGTTTTATATTTTTTGAATTTCCTTCATTTTCCTTTTGGTTTTCATTTTTCCCCAGTTGACTTCCTTTGGAAAGTCCAAACCTGTTTCTACTTGCTAAAAATAAACTGGAGGAAGATGTTTATTTTGGTGGCATTGGGACCACACATAAAGGGAAAATGGCTAGCCTCTAAAGACCTTGCAGGCAGGAATGAAAGTTTTCATAGAACAAAAAGAAAAATTTTTGAAAGAAAGCCGTTCAGGCTGCTTCATTTTCAATAAAACCATCCTTTGTTCATGACTTGGAAATCTGTTACACTTTGTTATATTGTCAGATAGAATTTAATTGAACAGATATATACTCATTAAAAATTGTGTATATGCCATATGTGGTGATCCATAACCGCAATCTCAGATTCTCAGGGGGATCACAAATTTCAGGGCAGCCTCAGCAACTTAGTGAGATCCTGTATCAAAATAAAACAAAAAAAGGTTGTTGTGTAAGTCAGTGGTAGAGCACTTTCCTAGCAAGTACAAAGCACTGAGTTAAATTCCAAGTTCCAAAGAAAAAAAAAAAGAAGTTAACTATACATGGTTGCAAAACAGCTTATCTCTGAATGTATATATGCCAAATTATAGATAAAACAATAAATGCTATCATGATATTATAGGGAGAAGAATCCAAGGACCTTTAAGCCATCCTTCCTTCAAAGCCGTCCCAGACAGACAAACTTGATATTTCCAATTTTCTAATTTCTATGCCTAAAAAACTAGATCCTTTGAAAAGAATTTGCAAATCATTTCCCATTTGAACCTTATAATGAAATGTCTGTAAGAGAAAAATAAGGGAAACATCATGGTTTCATAGGGAAAAAAATGGAATATTATCTAATACTGTGTTCAACTTTATGTAGAGAAGTCATATGCTCATGGCAGCAAACATCTGTGACCACAGACTGTATTCTAAGTTCCTCCACTGGGAGTGTAAAAATGAATGGAGGGAAAAGAAGGTCATGGAATCCAATGACAAGCCCTAAATCTGTCAGTAAAGCTTTGATGTTCCACCACACATTATGGATCTGTACTTAACGCTGCTAAGTTCCCATGACCTTCTAGACTACTTCTATGGTCATTAACTTTCTTTTCAATCTTATTATTTCAGCTTGGGCATACTTTGACATTCCAAAGAAGAACTGACCATCATAAGAAGGAATATTTGTGAAGACTACTGCAGTTCCAGAAAGAGGTATGGTTTCCATTTTCAAAACGAACCTTGCTTTTTAAACTTGCAATTATCTTATAAAAATAACTTCCTTCATTATCTATACAATATATCAATTCCATTTATGTCTCTTGCTTGCCTTCATTTATCAACAAATGACTTATTTGCTTTGTGCTAAGATGACTCTTATTCTACCATAGGGTGACCTCTCTACACTTCTAAGCTATTACTCCTCCCTTTCCCAACTATGAAGTGTTTTAAGGCAAGGATGGATTCTTACACATTTTAGATTTCCAAATGAATTCACTGTATCCATCTAGTAGGGTCAAATCATTGGGAGATCATATAAATTTTATAAAAGTTGATTAAATGCTACTTTGGAGAAGCAAAGCCATCATCTGTGAAATGATTGACTTAGACTACATGATGTCAACTCCTCCAGAATTCACCACTTGTTTGAAAGTTTTATCATCTTTTTATGGCTTAATATAAATTATTGAGTTGATATGTTTATAAATTAACAATTGAATATAATACTGAAATTTATAGAAAAGCTTATTTTGGTGTATAAAGGATGATGAGCTTATTGGTGTAACTAGAGATAATCCCAATTGTGTATTTTAATTGTTATTTATCAGCATTTTGGGGCATCTTTCATTAAAATGTCTGAGATTTTCAAATTTGTTTGTAATATGCAACAAATAAGCACATAATTAGTCAATGTCAAGGATATGGGTGTTTTTAACCCTCACAGCTAGTCTTATAATTAATTATCTTCCTTAATGCTTTATGAAGCAATTTTACTTACACACAACTTTAGGCTCTGAGTCTGGAAAGGTGTTTAATTACATTGGAATGAGAAGATAATTCTAAGAGACTTCAAATGATAAATAATACATTAAAATGATAAACTTATTCTATCCTTGACATATTCATTCAGCACTTAATGATACTTATGGACAAGACACATATGCACTAAGCCCTGTATAAGATGTCTACTTATCAGCCAGATAGTCTGGGAAGGAAGATAACATATCTACACAAATCTTTGATATACAAGTATATTTAAAGATCCCTATAAGTTCAACAAGAATAGAAATTTCTATGGATGGAGGCTGAGGGAGTGCATAATCAAGAAAGTTTAATTTGAAGTGAATGATGGATAGATTTTGCGCATGCATAGATGGAGAAAAGGACATTTCCAAAAGAAAAAATACCATGAAAAAAGACAGCCAAATGGGAAAACTTGTAGCACACACCCCTAATATAGTAAAATAATTATTCATTTGAAGTATAAGAGTTATAATTTGGAGAAGAGAGAAACTGAAAAATATGAATTTGCAGCCAAGCAATAAGGAGCCTTAAATATCAGACTAAGAAGTCTGGATTTTATTCCAAAGGCACTTGGGAATCACTGACTTTTAAAAATTAACATGTAATGATTCATATAATAATGGGGTCCAATATGATACGTCAACAAATATATACAGAACATACTGATTAAATCAAGGTAACTAGCATTAAAGATTTCAAAGGAAGAAAATGGCATAATTGGAAGCTCCAATGTATAGAAAATTACTTAGGAAAGATTTTGTAGCAAGACAGTTTGAAAATTGATGGTGGTAGGAAGGGATGTTGACAATTATCTAATGTCTTTCAAGTGTGCCTCTTTCAAAGTCTATTGCAGAGGATAGAAGGCTGATTTCTAAGGGCTTCAGAGATCTTAATCAAGGGATACAAACTCTCAGTTATAAGATAAATCAAGTTCTGGAGATCTAATGTATAGCATGCTGAGTATGGTTACTAAGACTGTATTAAATACATGAAATTATTAAAAAATATTTTTAGTTGTAGATGGACACAATATCTTTATTTTATTTACTTATTTTTATGTGGTGCTGAGGATCGAACCCAGAGTCTCACACGAGCAAGGCAAGCACTCTGCCACTGAGCCACAACCCCAGCCCTAAATACAAGAAATTTTTAAAGAGAGTAGATCTTATATTTTCTCACCACACATACACACACACACACACACACACACACACACACACAGAGACATACACACACACACACATACATGTTAAGTATATGAAGTGATGGATGTGTTAATTAACTTTGTGGTAATCATTTCACAATGTATATGATATCAGGTCATCATGTTGTACATCACATTGCACCTGTATATCAAATATATGCAGTACTTATTTCTCAATTTTACTCAATAAAACGAAGGGGGGAAGGCTATATCAAAAATCTCAACAGCACCATCTAGTGCCACATAGCATAATATTGCCCAGTTTGAGGAAATATTTAATAGGATTAATCAAAGACTGGATTAACTCTGGGCAGATTCCCTTCCTTTCACAACTGTTCCTGAGTTTGGAGAACCAATGTTAGAAGAGGTAGGTAACTGGATATCAAACTGAGAAATAATGCAGATATTGGGAATGGTAGTCTCATTTTTCTCTATGCGTCAGAACTAATCCTCTTCAATTTGTTAATCTTCTACCAATAGTTCTTGGAGACAAATAATAATAGAACAACTAGATAGAATGGCTAGATGCATTGGTAACACATCCTCAAAAGCAAATATGTTGTTAGCCATATTAAGCCTGGGAAGTTTATTCCACCTGCAACCACTTACATAGCTATCTATTTCTGTATCCTTGATGTGGAAAAATGATTGGCTCTGTTGATCGCTGGCAGCTTTTGTGTGCTCAAGCAGTCCTCCTACCTTACAATCACCAAACCCTGTTTTACCAGGGAGCAAGATCTGTGTGAAAGGTCAATAAATCAGACCTCGATCAAATATTATCTGCCATATTACATAGTGATGTGTCAATTTCACTTTCATAAAAAAATAAGAGAATTTGCAGCAACACTAAAGAAATTACTACATCTTTGCAAGATTGTTAGAGCTTTTTAACTATCCTGATGAACTTAGACCAAGTAACAATTTCTTGCTGTAAGAGAATTGACTGTATATAGCGAAACATTAAGACTTTAAGTCTAGTAAGAAAAAAAGGATGGAGAGCTACAGCAACTTCCTCACCCAACAATATATTCCCACTAGTTGTATCACATATTTACTCAGAATCTTAAATTATGGTACAAAGTTTATAAATGTATTTCACCTCTCTGGAACTTTTTTCACATTATCAAAATAACGAGGTGGTCTCTATGTTTTCTCCAGCCATGGTATTTTATGGTTCTAAATAAAGTCATCCATGTCCTAGATTAAGAATCTCTCCCACAGAAGTGAATTTCACTACTAACAAATTAGATTATTTCCCAAGTTATTAGCAGCACTCACCAGATGTTACCTAGGAAGCTCTCTTCTTGAGGGAATCAAGTATTTTCATTCAAGCTTATTCTTTTTTGTTTGAGCAATTCTTTTCTTTTTTATTGGTTCTTTTAAGTTATACATGACAATATAATTCATTTTGATATAATTATAAAAACATGGAATATAATTTGCTTTAATTCAATCCCAAGAACCTCCCCTTCCCCACCCCTCCCTGCTCCCTTTCCTCTCCTGATCTTTCTGTCATTTACCCATAGTTATTTTTTAAATTAACTTCTTATGGATGTACACAATGGTAAGATTCATTGTGGTATTTTATTCTTTAACATAATTCAAAGAGTCCTTGTAATAAATAGATAATTGATAGATATTCATATATGTGAAATTAATATCTCAAATTTTTCTTTAATTACAAAATTTAATAAATTACTTGAAAGGAAACTTTACGGAATAGTACTAGAGTGGTTGACTTAAAATAGGGAAGAAATATTTTACCTAGATCTCAGGGTTAAGAGGAAGTCAATCAGGCAAACATGGATAGGAAATTAAGAAAAAGTTTCTTCAGTCAGGCATGGTGGTTTATGCCTGTAATAGCAGTGGCTCAGGAGGCTGAGGCAGGAGGATTACAAGCTCAAAGCCAGCCTGGCAATTTAGCAAGGCCATAAGCAATTTAGTGAGGCCCTGCCTCAAAAAAAAAAAAAAAAAAGGCTGGAGATGTGGCTCAGTGGTTAAGCACCCCTGGGTTCAATCACTGGTACCAAAAGAAGAAGAAAAACTTTCTTCTAAATGCTTGTAAGACCTAAACCTTCCTCCTGGGGCCAGGAAACAGCCAAATTTCTCTCCATTGCCTCATGACACTTGCTTCCTATTGCAGTCAAAATGTATACATGTTGCTACTATGAAATAAAACAGTAATACTTCCTATAATTTAAAGTTTAGTAAAAATTGACAAGTTTTTTTTTTTTAATATGTTGTAGGCACCAAGCAAACATTCCTAGAGAAACATGGATGGAGCTGGAAATCTGACAGTATCTTCTTCCAGTAATAACACGTGCCATGACACTATTGATGACTTCCGCAATCAAGTGTATTCCACCTTATACTCTATGATCTCTGTTGTGGGTTTCTTTGGCAATGGCTTTGTGCTCTACGTCCTCATAAAAACATATCATGAGAAATCAGCCTTCCAAGTATATATGATTAACTTAGCTGTAGCAGATCTCCTGTGTGTGTGCACATTGCCTCTCCGTGTGGTCTATTATGTTCACAAAGGCATTTGGCTCTTCGGAGACTTTTTGTGCCGCCTCAGCACCTATGCCCTATATGTTAACCTCTACTGTAGCATCTTCTTTATGACAGCCATGAGCTTTTTCCGATGTGTTGCAATTGTTTTCCCAGTCCAAAACATTAATTTGGTTACACAGAAAAAAGCCAGGTTTCTGTGTGTTGGCATTTGGATTTTTGTTATTTTGACTAGTTCTCCATTTTTAATGGCCAAATCTTACAAAGATGAAAAAAACAATACAAAGTGTTTTGAGCCTCCTCAGGACAATCAGGCCAAAAATCATGTTTTGATCTTGCATTATGTGTCATTATTCATTGGCTTCATCATCCCTTTTGTTATTATAATTGTCTGCTACACGATGATCATTTTGACCTTACTAAAAAATTCTATGAAGAAAAATATGTCAAGTCGTAAAAAGGCTATAGGAATGATCATAGTTGTGACAGCTGCCTTTTTAATCAGCTTCATGCCATATCATATTCAACGCACAATCCACCTTCATTTTTTACACAATGAAACTAAACCCTGTGATTCTGTCCTTCGAATGCAGAAGTCAGTGGTCGTAACCTTGTCTCTAGCTGCATCAAATTGTTGCTTTGACCCTCTTCTATATTTCTTTTCAGGGGGGAACTTTAGGAGAAGGCTGTCTACATTTAGAAAACATTCTTTGTCCAGCATGACTTATGTACCCAAGAAGAAGGCCTCCTTCCCAGAAAAAGGAGAAGAAATATGTAAAGAAGAATTTAAACCCATATCCAGTGTAAACCAATGAAGAGTTTCCCAAACATTTTCTAAAATAATTTACAATAAAAATTTCCATTAACAATTTGCAAATATTTAACTATGTGTGCCTCCTAATCTACCTCATTTATGCATCACATTATCAGATATTTTAAGTGTTAAGAATTCAACCCACAGCTAAAGGCTAAATTATAAACAGTTGTTTGACCATTCACCAAAAGGTAGAGAATATTTGTGTTTTTTGGAGTGTAAAACATGGATCTGAGATCAAGGTTTTCCTCCACAAATAAAAGCTTTACAAAGGATAAGGGCTACACTTTTAAGATATAAAATCACCAAATAATTCTCAATCATCCTAACATATCCCTTTGCTTGCATGCCATCAGATGAGAACTGGAGATGACCCAAGAGTTGCACAAAACGTACTGTTAGCCTCCTCCTTTGTAGTACTGAGTAGAGAAGCAAAGTAGAGCTACTTTTTCCAGAAGAGAATGTACATGTTCTAGAACGTGCTAGTGTTCAGCCAAATGACCCTAAAAGCTCTGTGCAATGTACATTTTGGAAACTGAGGAAAATATATCTGATCAAAGATCAGCATGTCTCCAATATTCTTCTCCCCCTGCCCCAGGTCCAAAAAGAGAATGATGTCTTTTAGTTGCCTGTTGAGGTTCCTTTAACATTCTCTCCATACATGACATATAATCCTTCCTTAAGAAGCCAGACAACTAGCACTCCTGTATATGAACAGAAAGTAATTAAAAATTTATCTGAAGAAACAGAAAGGGGATCTACTTTTCTACATGATTATTACTAGGATCAAAATTAACTACAAGGAATCTCTGAAGAAAATTTTGAATGTCCATGTTACAAATTCTTTCAAGACGTGCATATATTATGTATAAACATATAAATATATGTAGGTGAATTTGTTCTATGATATGTATTTATAGGTGAAAGTTAATTATAAACTTTATTATTATTTCATACTTTTTACTTTTTATTAGCATGTTGACAGGAATATCAAACATTTATTTACAGTGATTTTTATATTAAACTGGAAGCTTTGTTCTTACAACCATGACAACAACTTGGTTATAGCTACAATATTCATGGGCAAGCTTTTGCTGAAGTGCAGTATGTTCCTTGACTTTGTGGGTTCAAAAGGTACATTACCTCAGAAGAAATAAATTATTATAGTGAAGAAAAAAGGAAAACTGTGAAAGAAGACATTCTATCTAAATCTGTCACATGTACATCATATATATATATATATATATATATATATATATATATATATATATATATCTTCTAATGTGGCAGTCCCTTGAAAAAAATCACAAAACATAAATAGAAGGGGCCTCCAAGGCATAGTAATAATTGGTACCCATGGATTTTTGTTTAATATACGTGAGACTTGGAAGTACTTATACTTTTGCTTTATACTGCTTTTTCCCTTACTTGAAACAAAGATCAAGCATAATTGTCATAAAATTCAGTTCTTATTTCTCATTTACTAAGCCTTCTGTTATTTGGCAAGCAGCACAGTGTGTGAGAATAACACTACATTGGAAGCCAGAAAACCTAGATGCTAACCTGGTTTCTACTATATGATACTTGTGTAACTTTAGGATATGACATGAACTTTCTCATTTGTAAAACGGGAAATATTTGTTTGGCTTTCCATATAGGGCAATTGTAAACCTCAAATGAGATGTTATATTAAAGTTTTACTTTAAAAATATATAGTGAGGTGTCATTTTAAAGTATCCAGAGATGGTTTTCTTACTTAAATATATTGATTTTTATTTACTACATGGATTCTCAATTTTAAAAGAATTAGAACAAATTAAGGCCACAGTTAAATTCTTTATTTTATTTTAATTTGTTATATATGACAGCAAAATGCTTTACAATTCATATTACACACATAGACATAATTTTTCACATCTCTGATTGTATACACAGTAGAGTCACACCATTCGTATCTTCATACATGTACTTAGGATAATGATGTCCATCTAGCCACAGTTAAATTCTATTTCATGTAATTTAATTATTCCTACTTCCAAGCTTTTGTCTGTGTTCTCATTTTCACTCACAGTTCTACTCTTCCCATATAGAAACATACCATAAAACCTTCAATCAGCTGGGCATGGTGGCACAAGCCTGAAATCCCAGTGGCTCGAGAGGTGAGGTAGGAGAATCACAGTTCAAAGCCAGCCTCAGCAATTTAGTGAGGCCCTAAGCAACATAGTGAGATCCTGTCTCAAAATAAAAGTAAGAAGGCCTGGAGATGTGACCCAGTTGTTAAGCTCCTCCCCCCCATCCCCGGGTTCAATTCCCAGGAAGAAGAAGAAGGAGAAGGAGAAGGAGAAGGAGAAGAAGAAGAGAAAAAAAGAAAGAAACTTCAGTCATCTGCAAACCCAAAATGAATTTGTTCTTCTTTTGTTTCTCATGCATTTGTTGGTTAGTACTTATTTTCCCAATTTTTTTCATATCTCAGTATTTTCTCCAAAATTAGAGTGATCCTTCTGGAATCATCAACTCCTTGAGGTTGGAAATTATATCTTTAAATGACAGTATCTAATATTTAATGAGCTCTAACTTTGTGCTATACACTGTTTTACATGCTTTACCTGTACCAATTCATTTAATGCTTCTAACTGCATTATGAAGTACCATTATTAACCCTATTTTGATGAATTAGAAACTGATTAGTTGTCTGTTGAGGTTCCTGTAACATTCTCTCCCTACATGACCACAGAGAGGTTTAGTAACTTGCCCAATATCAGATAGTTAGGAAGCATCAGAACCAAGGTTCAAACCCAGGCAGTCTGATGCCACAATACATGTTCTTAATTTGCTATACTATTCTGCTGGATTGTTTTCAAGTATAAAGTTTCAGAATGCAGGTCAGGTGTGGTAGCACATGACTATAATTCCAACAACTCAGGAGGCTGAGGCAGGAGGATCACAAGTTCAAGACCAGCCTCAGTAATTTAGTGAGGCCCTAAGCAACTTAGACTAAGTTGTCTGTAAATAAAATTTAGTGAGACTAAGCTGTCTCTAAAAAAAATAAAATAAAATAAAAAGGGCTAAGGATGTGACTCAGTGGTTAAGTACCACTGTTAAATCCCCAGTACCAAAAAACAAAAGTTTGAAAATACAGCATGAATAGGTTTTAGAGATCTGATAATGACTTAAAAACTGTTTTAAGACAGCAGATCTTGGGTTAAGTTTTCTTAACACACATATAAACATATGGAGAGAGAAAGGAGAGGAGAGGAGATGGGGAGAAGGGGGGGGAAGCAGCAGCAAGGGTTTATTTTTAATGATTTATTTGTTTATTTTAAAAACCAGGTTTAATTAAACTGCATACTTAAATTCTTAAGTTAGGTGAACACATGAATTATGGCCTAAAGCCTATGGGTTTAGTTGGAAGAACATCTAAAGAATATTATATAGTATTTTAGCATATCAACATTAGAAGGACCTTCGTGTTTGTAATTCCTAATGGCAATATAATACCCTGTGGCATTAACATGCCACAGTCTTCACACACATTCCTTTGGTTGCCAACAGTCCTTTCAAACCTCATCAGCTATCTAAACTCTCTTTCATGATACACTTAAATTTTTACTTTGTTCAACCATTATGTCTTCTGTATCTTAAAAAAATCATTTCTGATCTTAAAGAACATTCTATATTTTAGCCTCCAGAATAAACACAAGTGATTTTATGTGTTCAACTGATAACAAACTTTGGTTTTCTGGCTTATAGAATCTCCCAGTTTTTCATTCTAGTAACATGATTTTGCATTTATGCTTTTTTAAAAAATATTTTTATATGTATGGACCTTTATTTTATTCATTTATTTATATGTGGTGCTGAGGATCGAACCCAGTGTCTCACACGTGCTAGGCAAGCTCTCTACCACAGCCACAGCCTCAGCCCTGCATTTGTGCTTTTAATTAGCCTTTTAAGATAATTAAATCTTTCTCTCAGGATTTACCTTTAGTGACTAACTCCAATGGTGAAAAATTCAGAGGATTGAAAAGTGAGATTAGATCTCAGAGCAATGTAAATTTGTGGGCCCTTTTTAGTAGGTACCATAGCACTGGAAGTAAGAACAGAAGCTCACTTATTCTATTCTACTTTATGTGTACAACCTGGGTTAGACTGGCTTTGCCTGATACAAAAATAGCAAAGTGTTTCTGAGAGGCCAAATCCAAAACATTTTCTTTGGTCCATTCCAGATCTCTTTTACTCTAGATGAATCAAAAGACATTTTCTAACTCCTCATTCATCTGTTCATTACTTCACTTTTCTCTGCACTATATATAATCACGTCATAAAATCCCTTCCATGATAACCCTATTAAATCACAATAATACGTATCTATTTTAAATTACAAAATCATAACCTGAAATTTATAAAACAGATTTACATGGAATATTTGCTCAAGTGACATTTAATTTTGTATCCATAAGGACCTTTCTCTTGAAAGCTAGTCACTTGAACTAGGAAATGTTTTGCATGTCAATAATTCTAGCTTAGAAAATAAGTTATCCTGATGGAAAAATGTCCTTTGGACACAGAATGTTGTATTCTCGATTATTCAAAGAGAAATGTAAGCTAAGGGCTTGTTATTGCCCAGTTTTACTGCACTATAGGTAAACAAAAATTACCATATTTGTTCCTGAATAACCACAATTACCTTGGTTTGGTGTTATTGTTTTTACTTTCACCTTCTTAAACTTGAAAGATTAATTGTTTCTTGAATACCCAGATAGATATGAGAACTAAAGATTGAAAAATAATGTTTTACACCCCATAACAAACCAAATTCATCTTTCTACAACTTTTGCAAATAATAATTCAAATTAATGTCTAATTTTGATCCCCCTTTTTAAAAACAACTTCAAACAACTGACAAAGAAAGCCAATAAAATTTATCCCCTTTAAGTCGTCTATGTAGTTTTCATTTTTATTGGATAAAGGTTATAATAGCTCAGCATAAGATCTGGCTCTTTTTTATGCACAGAAGGAATTTTTATTCCTAAATTAGCATCATGACTATTCTTCACGTATCTCAAAATT